GTCTTATGCAGCGTTCCCCTGACCCTTTCCAAGACCCCCTTCAACAGAGACCTCCAGCCCCTTCCAGAGACCAAGTACCCCACATTCTCTCCCAGCCCCTCCAGAAGCCTCATCCCCTACAGGGCCACCAAGTCTGATGCAGCCTCCCCTGACCCTTTCCAGGATCCCCTTTCTCAACAGAGACCCCCACCTCCTTCCAGAGACCAAGTACCCCACATTCTCTCCCAGCCCCCTCCAGAAGCCTCATCCCCCACAGGGCCACCAAGTCTGATACAGTGTCCCTGACCCTTTCCAGGACAAACCCCCCCCCAACAGAGACTCCCAGCCCCATCCAGAGACCATGTACCCCCACACTTTCTCCCAGCACCCTCCAGAAGCCTCATTACCCACTGGGCTACCAAGTCTGATACAGCCTCCCCTGACCCTTTCCAGGACAAACCCCACCCCAACAGAGACTCCCAGCCCCATCCAGAGACCAAGTACCCCACACTTTCTCCCAGCACCCTCCAGAAGCCTCATTACCCACTGGGCTACCAAGTCTGATGCAGTGTCCTCTGACCCTTTCCAGGACCCCCCCCCCCCCCAACCGAGACTCCCAGCCCTTTCCAGAGACCAAGTACCCCACACTTTCTCCCAGCCCTCTCCAGAAGCCTCATCCCCTACAGGGCCACCAGGCCTGATGCAGCCTCCCCTGACCCTTTCCAGGCCCCCTTCCTCAACAGAGACCCCCAGCTCCTTCCAGAGACCAAGTACCCCCCCACACTTTCTCCCAGACCCCTCCAGAAGCCTCATCCCCTATAGGGCCACCAGGCCTGATGCAGCCTCCTCTGACCCTTTCCAGGCCCCCTTCCTCAACAGAGACCCCCAGCCCCTTCCAGAAAACCAAGTACCCCACACTTTCTCCCAGCCCCCTTCAGAAGCCTCATCCCCTCCAGGGCCACCAAGTCTGATGCAATGCCCCATGACCCTTTCCAGGAACCCCCCCCCAACAGAGACCCCCAGGCCCTTCCAAAGACCAAGTGCCCCACATTCTTTCCTAGCCTCCTCCAGAAGCCTCATCCCCCAAAGGACCACCAAGTTCGATGCAGTGTCCCCTGACCCTTTCCAAGACCCCCAGACTCTTCCAGAGACCAAGTACCCCACACTTTCTCCCAGCCCCCTCCAGAAGCCTCATCCCCTCCAGGGCCACCAAGTCTGATGCAATGCCCCATGACCCTTTCCAGGAACCCCCCCCCCCCAACAGAGACCCCCCCAGGCCCTTCCAAAGACCAAGTGCCCCACATTCTTTCCTAGCCTCCTCCAGAAGCCTCATCCCCCCAAAGGACCACCAAGTTTCGATGCAGTGTCCCCTGACCCTTTCCAAGACCCCCAGACTCTTCCAGAGACCAAGTACCCCACACTTTCTCCCAGCCCCCTCCAGAAGCCTCATTCCCCTACAGGGCCACCAAGTATGATGCAGCGTCCCCCTGACCCTTTCCAAGACACCCCCCCTTCCTGCAAACAGAGACCTTCAGCTCCTTCCAGAGACCAAGTACCCCACACTTTCTCTCAGCCCCCTCCAGAAGCTTCAACCCCTATAGGGCCACCAGGCCTGATGCAGCCTCCTCTGACCCTTTCCAGGACCCCTTCCTCAACAGAGACCCCCAGCCCCTTCCAGAGACCAAGTACCCCACACTTTCTCTCAGCCCCCTCCAGAAGCTTCAACCCCTATAGGGCCACCAGGCCTGATGCAGCCTCCTCTGACCCTTTCCAGGACCCCTTCCTCAACAGAGACCCCCAGCCCCTTCCAGAGACCAAGTACCCCACAGTTTCTCCCAGCCCCCTCCAGAAGCCTCATCCCCTCCAGGGCCACCAAGTCTGATGCAATGGCCCATGACCCTTTCCAGGAACCCCCCCCCCCCCAACAGAGACCCCCAGGCCCTTCCAAAGACCAAGTGCCCCACATTCGTTCCTAGCCTCCTCCAGAAGCCTCATCCCCAAAGGATCACCAAGTTCGATGCAGTGTCCCCTGACCCTTTCCAAGACCCCCAGACTCATCCAGAGACCAAGTACCCCACACTTTCTCCCAGCCCCCTCCAGAAGCCTCATTCCCCTACAGGGCCACCAAGTATGATGCAGCGTCCCCTGACCCTTTCCAAGACACCCCCCCTTCCTGCAAACAGAGATCTTCAGCTCCTTCCAGAGACCAAGTACCCCACACTTTCTCCCAGCCCCCTCCAGAAGCTTCAACCCCTATAGGGCCACCAGGCCTGATGCAGCCTCCTCTGACCCTTTCCAGGACCCTTCCTCAACAGAGACCCCCAGCCCCTTCCAGAGACCAAGTACCCCACACTTTCTCCCAGCCCCCCCCTCCAGATGCCTCATCCCCCACAGGGCCACCAAGTCTGATGCAGCCTCCCCTGACCCTTTCCAGGAACCCCCCCCCCCCCCAGCAGAGACCCCCCAGCCCCCTTTCCAGAGACCAAGTACCCCACACTTTTCCCCCAGCCCCCTCCAGATGCCTCATCCCCCACAGGGCCACCAAGTCTGATGCAGCGTCCCCTGACCCTTTCCAGGACCCCCCCCCCCCCCTCAACTGAAACCCCCAGCCCCTTCCAGAGACCAAGATCTCACACTTTCTCTCAGGCCCCCCCCTCCAGAAGACTCCCGGAGCCCTACAAGGCCACCAAGTCTGATGCAGCGTCCCCTGACCCTTTCCAGAATCCTCCCCTCAACAGAGACCCCCAGCCCCTTTCAGAGACAAAGTACCCCACATTTTTCTCCCAGCCCCCTCCAGTAACCTCATTCCCTACAGGGCCACCAAGTCTGATGTCACGTCCCCCTGACCCTTTCCAGGACCCTCCCAACAGAGACTCCCAGTCCCCTCCCAGAGACCAAGTACCCCACACTTTCTCTCCCAGCCCCCTCCAGATAGCTTCAATCCCCTAAAGGGCCACCAGGCCTGATGCCACTCCTCTGACCCTTTCCAAGACCCCTTCCTCAACAGAGACCCCCAGCCCCTTCCAGAGGACCAAGTACCCCACACTTTCTCCCAGCCCCCTCCAGGAGCCTCATCCTCTACAGGGCCACCAAGTCTGATTTTTCTTGAAAGGATGGATTATCCTATCTTAGTTGTCACCAGAGCAGGTGTCCCCATTGGATGATTTACCCTCTATTCCTGTTCTAGTGACAACTCTAAATTTGGATATACATCGCTTTTTCCATCCCAGTGTTTCCCCACTTCATTCAAATACAAAAAAAACAAGTTCTGGCTTCAGGAAGGAGTCCAGTGTTCCCTCCTAAATGTAGCTTTATATTTATTTTTTAGCTTTACAGCGCCTTGAAAAAGTCTTCCTCCCTCCTTGAAATGTTCCCCGTGTTGTCATGTGACAACCAGAACCGTCAATGTATTTTTTATTGGGATTGGATGTGATGGACCAACACAACAACGTGGCACAGAATTGTGAAGTGGAAGGAAAATGATACATTTTTTTCAACATTTTTTTTTACAAATAAATCTGTGAAAAGTGTGGCGAGCATTTGTATTCAGCCCCCTTTACTCTGATCCCCCTAACTAAAATCTAGTGGAACCAATTGCCTTCAGAAGTCACCTGATTAGTAAATAGAGTCCCCTGTGTGTCATGTGATCTCAGTATAAATCCAGCTGTTCTGTGAAGCCCTCAGAGGTTTGTTAGAGAACATTAGTGAACAAACAGCATCATGAAGGCCAAGGAACACACCAGACGGGTCAGGGATAAAGTTGTGGAGATGTTTAAAAGCAGGGTTAGGTTATAAAAAAGTATCCCAAGCTTTGGCCATCTCATGGAGCACTGTTCAATCCATCATCTGAAAATGGAAGGAGTACGGCACAACTGCCAACCTACCAAGACATGGCCGTCCACCTAAACTGACCAGGCTGGGCAAGGAGAGCATTCATCAGAGAAGCAGCCAAGAGGCCCATGGGAACTCTGGAGGAGCTGCAGAGATCCACAGCTCAGGTGGGAGAATCTGTCCTCAGGACAACTATTAGTCGTCACTCCACAAATCTGGCCTTTATGGAAGGGTGACAAGAAGAAAGCCATTGTTGGAGGAAAGCCATAAGAAGTCCCATTTTCAGTTTGTGAGAAGCCATTGGGGGACACAGCAAACATGTGGAAGAAGGGGCTCTGGTCAGGGGAGACCAAAATGGAACTTTTTGGTCTAAAAGCAAAATACTATGTGTGGTGGAAAACTAACACTGCATATCACCCTGAACACACCATCCCCCACTGTGAAACATGGCGGAGGCAGTATCATGTGGTGGGGGAGGCTTTTCTTCAGCATTATTATTATACAGGATTTATATAGCGCCAACAGTTTGCGCTTTACAATATAAGGGAGACAATACAATTACAATACATTTCATTACAGAAGGAATAGGAGGGCCCGGCTCGTGGAGCTTACAATCTAAAGGAGGGGGAGGTGATACAAAAGGTGATAGTTGCGGGGGATGATCTGGCGGACGTGATTCAAGTACAGTTCTTAGGTGGAGGTGGGGTAGGCTTCCCTGAAGAAGTGCCTTTTCAAAGTTTGCCTAAAGGCAGACAGGATGGGGCTGACCGGACATGCTGTGGTAGGGAGTTCTAGAGGATGGGAGAGGCTCTGGAGAAGTCCTGGAGGCGAGCGTGGGAGGAGGGTGATGAGGGAGCTAGAGAGGAGGATATCATGGGAGGAGCGGAGCGGGCTATTTGGGTGGTATCTGTGGATGAGGTTGGTGATGTAGCCGGGGGCAGTGTTGTGGGTGGCTTTGTAAGCTGTGGTTAGTATTTTGAATTTTATACGTTGGGTTAGTGGAAGGCAGTGAAGGGATTGGCAGAGAGGGGTGGAGGACACTGATTGGAGGCCAGTGGAGGGATTGGCAGAGAGGGGTAGAGGCCAGTGGAGGTATTGGCAGAGAGGGGGGAGGACACTGAGTGGAGGCCAGTGGAGGGATTGGCAGAGAGGGGGTGGAGGACACGGAGTGGAGGCCAGTGGAGGGATTGGCAGAGAGGGGTGGAGGACACTGATTGGAGGCCAGTGGAGGGATTGGCAGAGAGGGGTGGAGGACACTGAGTGGAGGCCAGTGGAGGGATTGGCAGAGAGGGGTGGAGGACACGGAGTGGAGGCCAGTGGAGGGATTGCAGAGAGGGGTGGAGGACACTGAGTGGAGGCCAGTGGAGGGATTGGCAGAGAGGGGTGGAGGACACTGAATGGAGGCCAGTGAAGGGATTGGCAGAGAGGGGTGGAGGACACTGAGAGGAGGTCAGTGGAGGGATTGGCAGTTAGAGAGGGGTGGAGGACACTGAGTGGAGGTCCAGTGGAGGGATTGGCAGAGAGGGGTGGAGGCCACCGAGTGGAGGCCAGTGTGATAGGGATGGCAGAGAGGGGTGGAGGACACTGAGAGGAGGCCAGTGGAGGGATTGGCAGAGAGGGGTGGAGGACACTGAGTGGAGGCCAGTGGAGGGATTGGCAGAGAGGGGTGGAGGACACCGAGTGGAGGTCAGTGGAGGGATTGGCAGAGAGGGGTGGAGGACACTGAGTGGAGGCCAGTGGAGGGATTGGCAGAGAGGGGCAGCAGTCGCTGATCGGTTGGTGAGATGGATGAGGCTAGCAGCAGCATTCATAATAGACTGAGGGGGGGATAGCCTGTGTAACGGTAGACCAGTGAGGAGGGAGTTGCAGTAATCAAGGTGGGATATAACAAGGCGTGGATGAGTTGTTTTGTGGTGTCATTGGTCAGAAAGGGGCAGATTTTGGAAATGTTCTGGAGACTTAGGCGGCAGGATTTAGCCAGTGATTGGATGTGGGGCCCAAAGGAGAGTTCAGAGTCTAGGATTACACCCAGCACCCTGGCATGAGGGGAAGGACCAATGGTTGTGCTGTTGATCCCAATGGTAAAGTCATGAGTGGGGGATCGGGGGGGGGGGGGGGAATATTACAGCTCAATTTTGGAAAGATTGAGTTTAAGGTAGTGGTGTGACATCCATGCTGATATGTCGCTCAGTAGATTTGTGATATGTGAGGAGATTGAGGGGGTGAACTGGGGAGTGGAATGATAGATCTGGGTGTCATCAGCATAGAGGTGTTATTGGAAGCCATGGGAGGTCATCAGTTGGCCCAGACAGGAGGTATAGAGAGAAAAGGAGGGGTCCAAGAACAGACCCTTGGGCAGGGACAGGGAAGCTGGTCGGAGTTGATGGGAAGATGGATGGAGCCAAATACAGGACAATCTTAGAAGAAAACCTGTTAGAGTCTGCAGAAGACTTGAGACCGGGGCGGAGGTTCCCCTTCCAGCAGGACAACGACCCTAAACATCCAGCCAGACCTACAATGGAATGGTTCCGATCAAAGCATCTTCATGTGTTAGAATGGCCCAGTCACAGTCCAGACCCAAATCCAATGGAGAATCTGTGGCCAGACCTGAAAATTGCTGTTCCCAGACGCTCTCCATCTAATCTGACAGCTTGAGGGATTCTGCAAAGAAGAATGGGCAGAAATGTCCCTCTCTAGATGTGCAAAGAGACATCCCCCAAAAAGACTTGCAGCTGGAATTGCAGCCAAAGGGGGGGTCCTACAAAGTATAGACTCCGGGGGGGGGCCGAATACAAATGCCGCCACACTTTTCACAGATTTATTGGTCACAAATGTTGGAAACCATTTCTCATTTTCCTTCCACTTCACAATTCTGTGCCACTTTGTGTCGGTCCATCACATCCAATCCCAATAGATACATTGTAACATGACAACATGGGGGACATTTCAGGGGGCGGGGGAAATACATTGTAACATGACAACATGGGGGACATTTCAGGGGGCGGGGGAATACATTGTAACATGACAACATGGGGGACATTTCAGGGGGGGGGGAGGGGGAATACATTGTAACATGACAACATGGAGGACATTTCAGGGGGGGGGGGAATACACTGTAACATGACAACATGGGGGACATTTCAGGGGGGAGGGGGAATACATTGTAGCATGACAACATGGGGGGCATTTCAGGGGGGGAGGGGGAATACATTGTAACATGACAACATGGGGGACATTTCAGGGGGGAGGGGGGATACATTGTAGCATGACAACATGGGGGGCATTTCAGGGGGGAGGGGAATACATTGTAACATGACAACATGGGGGGACATTTCAGGGGGGAGGGGGAATACATTGTAACATGACAACATGGGGGACATTTCAGGGGGGAGGGGAATACATTGTAACATGACAACATGGGGGACATTTCAGGGGGAGGGGAATACATTGTAACATGACAACATGGGGGACATTTCAGGGGGAGGGGGACTTTTTCAAGGCACTGTAATCTAGGCTGTTCCCCAGTCAGTCCTGGTGGACCTGGTAGTTCTGCAATGGGACAATGTTCTGCCAACGTATCGATGCCAAAGAACAATCCAATGGTGCCAATTCTAGTTCCTACACTAACCAGAACCCAATGAGTAACTATATCTTCTACCTGAAATGTATTTTTTTTAAATATTTAAAATTAAATATATTTTTCAGATATTTTGTAATAAAAACGCAATTCAAAATAATATATATATATTGAAATATGTTTTTAAATATATTGAATACGGCCACCATTGTAGCATTTAAAATATATGTCAATATATTTGGGAAGAATATTTTTAAAATAGATTTGAAATATATTTTTCTTCTATTCTTCTTCTATTCCACTTAATTTTGACTTCCCCTTTGCGATTTTGTTGCAGAGTTCAGCCGGCGCTGGTGTGTACTCAATGATGGCGTGCTCAGCTACTACGAGAACAACCACAGCAATTCCCCCAACGGGGAGATCCGCATGGATGAGATTGTCTGTGTGGCAGTGATCCCGCCGGAGACGCACGGGTAAGTGTGACCCTAAAATGCCTCTTCTGCCCTAAAATGACTCTTTTGTTTATTGACGGACCCATCGGCTCCTCTCTTGATAGCCGTAACAGTTGGAGGTTTATAGCGCCACCTATCAGGAGGAGGACATTAGGCAGAAACAATTCGGGCACCTCCTATGGGCAGCCCTCTCTCGCCATTCTTTCTGCCTAGTGTGTGGACCTAATTCCCTTCTGGGACTCGTGGTCCCACTGATTTATTTGGGCGGAGATCTTCAGTCAACAGCTGGGCGAAGGGCAGGATATTTGAAATCTGTGTGGTCACCCCAGTCCGGCCAACAAGCACACGCGGGCCCTTAGCTACGCATTAGGTCGGGTGCAGCAAGCCCCATCTTGGACCAGGCGGGCAGCAAGTGAAACATCTGTGTGGGGACACATACAGTGAAGGAAATGCATATTTGCTCCCCTGCTGATGGTGAATGTTCGCCCCTCACAAAGAAATGATCGGTCTAACAATGGAATGTTCGGTGTAACACTGAGAGAAAGAATACAACAACAAATTCAGCAGAAATGCGTCTAACAAATGATGACTGATCTGCATGTTCATGAGGGAAAGAAGGATTTGATCCCCTTCACAAAACATGACTTAGTACTTGGTGGCAAATCCCTTGTTGGCAATCACAGAGGTCAGACGTTTCCTGGAGTTGGCCCCCAGGTTCGCACACCTCTCAGGAGGGATTTTGGTCCACTCCTCTTGGCAGATCCTCTCCAAGTCATTAAGGTTTGGTGGCTGATGTTTGGCAACTCGAACTTTCAGCTCCCTCCACAGATTTTCAATTGGAGTAGTAGTAGTAGTAGATGCCCCCCACTTCCTTCCCCAGATACTGTTGGGGTGCAGGTAGTGCGGTCTTCCCTCCCCCTGGCCTCTGGGTTTCCCTCCTGGCTGCATTGCTGAGCCTCTCTCTCCAACTTGCTTTCATGCCTGTGGATGGTTAAGCTTCCCTCCAGTCCCCTCTCTCTGACTGCCGGGTCCCCTGGTTGTATGTCGGTCCCCTGGAAGGATTTGGGTTGACAGTTCCAGTGGGGCTCATTTGGGACATTGTTGGGGTTCCTCGGGGCTCAGGGTGCTGTTTTGTTTCACTGAGGCTGATGTGCTCTTGTAGGCTGACAGTCGTTTTCCTTTAGCCATGCCAGCCAAGTCTATGGACCGCATCGGTGGCCATTTTGCAGAGGTCCACTGTGCAATGCCTATGGGGCAACAATATTCCTGTAGATGACTGACAGCGGCCATCACTGGGCTGAAACTGGGGGCAGTACTGGGCCTCTCATGGAGGCAAGCTTCGTACCAGCCAGGCTGGCAGAGGTGCACAAGGCAGTTTGCTGGTATTGACTCCGTTCCGGGTTCCCCCCTCAGGAAGGTGGAGCAGGTCAGGAGGAACTATACTTTTGTCTTCTGAATGCTGTAGGTAGTACGGCGTGCCCTTTACCCTGGATACGAGTCGTACGTTGCCGTGGTACAGACGGGCTGACCGCACTGTGGCAACTCATGATGATCCAGGGCAAACTTGGTCCTGAGCTTGCGGCTTTCTGGTGCTACCCTGGTTGAGAAACACTGCACTGGAGCTACAAGCCCCATAGACAGCAGCCTGGAAGGGAAAGGACATTGCCAAACTCTCATTGTCTGCAGGCTTAGCCTGGAAGGCAAAGACCCTTCCAGATGTTCTTTGCAAATATGCTGTTCCCAAGCCCACAGCACTGGCATACCTCTCAACGATTGGTTGAGGAACCCTGGTTAGGTGGGCTAGGGACCGGCCCAGGCTGGGTTGGGTAAAGATTAATTCTTTTCTACTGGTTTGCGGGTTTTTTTGCTTTCAGCTGGCCCACTTGTGATATAACTTAGGGGAAGGCTGAGACTCGGGAGTCAGAATGTGTGCTACAACCCCCGTAGACAGCAGCCTGGAAGGGAAAGGACATTGCAAAACTCTCATTGTCTGCAGGCTTAGCCTGGAAGGCAAAGACCCTTCCAGATGTTCTTTGCAAATATGCTGTTCCCAAGCCCACATCACTGGCATACCTCTCAACGATTGGTTTAGGAACCCTGGTTAGGTGAGCTAGGTAGAGGCCCAGGCTGGGTTGGGTAAGGATTAAATCTTTGCTGCCGGTTTGAGGGTTTTTGGGTTTCAGCTGGCCCACTTGTGATATAACTTGGGGGAAGGCTGAGACTCGGGAGTCGGAATGGGTGCTACAACCCCCATAGACAGCAGCCTGGAAGGGAAAGGACATTGCAAAACTCTCATAGTCTGCAGGCAGAGCCTGGAAGGCAAAGACCCTTCTAGATGTTCTTTGCAAATATGCTGTTCCCAAGCCCACATCACTGGCATACTTCTCAACGATTGGTTTAAGAACCCTGGTTAGGTGAGCTAGGTACAGGCCCAGGCTGGGTTGGGTAAAGATTAATTCTTTGCTACTGGTTTGCAGGTTTTTGGGTTTCAGCTGGCCCACTTGTGATATAACTTAGGGGAAGGCTGAGACTCGGGAGTCAGAATGTGTGCTACAACCCCCGTAGACAGCAGCCTGGAAGGGAAAGGACATTGCAAAACTCTCATTGTCTGCAGGCAGACAATGTGATATAAATTAGGGGAAGGCTGAGACTTGGTATTCTGAATGGGTTCCCACACGTACTGGTGTTCTGAGGTACTGCTGCTGATT